AACATTCCTAATGCTATCTATTTATCTAAGTGCATTAAACTTTACATTATTTTTCTAATATATATTGTTAAAAATCCCCATTTAATAATATGATCCCATATTTCAATTTCGTTCATATTCAAATAATCTCTTTTCAACAAATCTATCAATAAATCTTTTGATGTTTTGGTAAAATCTTTGGCGCGAAAGACCACTTCTGGTTCCCAATCAATTATATTTGTATAGAATTTTTTTAATCTTTTGAAGGCTAAATGTCCATTCTCTATCTCAAAAATATTATTTACATATTGTTTAAGCGATTCAATTCTTTTGGAAAGCATATAATCAACTATGAAATTCATTAGTTCATTAAGAAATAGCTCATCAGATACCAACAGTAGCCTAATTATTTCTGGTATATCCAAATCATCCAATTTCAAATCATCACTTCCATATATATAACTATTATTTATATTAGTAAAGGAAATATTATTAGTGAGTTATTATTATAAGTATTAATGAAATATTACCGTTCAACAAATTGATACAATAAATATCTTTACTTACTCTAGAATAATTTCAAACAATTTTGGGGTGACGTTTGGTTTGTTATAAATTATCATATTACCTTGTTTTTTCACCCAATCGTCCGATAATGCTGTACGAAAGTAAGTTGATCTAGTTTTCAGAACCAGAGAATGGACATAAAACTTCTTATGATCACCATCTTCACCAACATCTATAATTACGTCTGAAAATTCTTTTGATCTTAGTAAATCCTTAAAATCAGTTGAAAATTTTAATATAATATTTATTGTCATTTTTTTTTTATTTTCTTTGGTTACTTAACATTGATAAAGAAAAATACTAACAGTCACATGAAATTCAGGTACACTATGTATGTGTCACTATAAATTTTAAATTTTAAAGCTTAATAAAGGAATGTTGAAAGACGATATTTGATAGTCTTTCTTCCGCCAAACTCAGTAAGGTACAGGTTACCTCCTGCATGAGACTCTTGGTTCTGGCCATGTGATTTTTAAATATCTTATACGCGTAAAATTAATCGGAGCAATGTCGATCAGTTTAGTTAATACTCATAGTTACTAATAACAAGTAATATTTGTTATGCCAATTCGGAGTCACCCCATAGTAGTAGCTGACTGTGACGAAAAGAAAACCCCATTGTTTCTGCTGCGCCAACGAGATTTTCCTGTCACAATCATGTGCAGCAGTGGGGTCAATTTAAGTCCCCTCACTCCTACCCCACCTAAAAATTTCAGGCCTTTCTTCCCATTCTCGTTCATGTACAGAAATATGTTCCTTATGTTTCGGGCAGCATTAACATCATGATTCCAGAGGGTCTGGCACATGTGTCTACATGTCCAGAGCGTCCAAAACTGTTGAGGTTTACTAAATATCCCTTCACACTTGGAACATATTCTGCTAGTTCTAAATTCATTAATAATTTTTACTCTACATCTTTTCCTTAACTCCCACATCAGCTGCTTTATTGGACCAGCAGCATGTCCTTTAGAACTTGATGAAAATGGAGCATGACTGTGATTATAAAATGAAAAGATTTTTTTTTAATTTCTCTAAATAACATAAAAAATTAGTATCATGAAAATTAGGTAATATTTACCCAAATGCCACAACAGTTCTCTCATTATTGGCAATCCTCCTACAGATTTTATCCATTGCCTTTTGTTTACCAATATAGTTTGACCATCTTAACCTTCTCCAATGTTTTTCTTTATAAAAGTCAAATAAATCATCCATATAAAAAAGTGCTTCAGAGAGATACTGCACTTGGAAACCATGAACTGAAGGAACAGAAGGTGTTGGTAAACCTGAAATATATAATATTGAATTAATAATAATAATTAATTAATCTTTTGAAAAAAATCAAAATGTTTACCTCTGACAATGGCTTGTATGTATTTATTTTTATTCATCCAAACTTCTCTTTTTTTCTTGCCTTTGTAAACCCAGCCATCTCATAATATTCTTTTGTGCTGCATTTAATTACTTTTTCATTTTGATCTACAGCAACAAATAAATCCCTTCTTCCAGGGTCAATAGCAACTACTCTACATCCCTCCAAATCTAATTTTTTATACTCATCATCATCATCATTCCTTTCACCAATTTTTTTTGGCTTTTGTAGGTGGACAGAAGCACATATACCATCAGTTTGTATATAGATAGTATGTAAATGTTCTATTTCTAGTAGAAACTTTTTTTATATTAAAGCTTCTATTCCACCAATGATCAAAAT